GAGTATTGTCACCATGGAGAACGGAATTAAAGAGCTTCTGAGGAACTTCAAGTACCAGTTTTCCACCCGCTTACAGAAGCTCCGCTGTAATTCCATCCTCGCCCGGGGACTTGCCATTTTTAAGGTGCCGGAGTTTTTTTTTCTATTCTTTCGTTTCGGATAAGACTTGCTCTTGGATCGCTACTCACACTTGTGTATGGCTCGGACAATGACCTCCACAGCTGCCCATGGAACCTCTCAATCTCACTAAAAATCTCAGGTGTTCCGGTAACGATGCTGCCACACTCGGTCTTCAGCTTCGACAGTTGGCTCTTTTTGACAGACAAATCTCGGACACTTTCGTTTCATTCCGCTCAATCGCTTCTTCAATACGAGCTATTGAAGTTGCGTAAGTCCCGCCGCATGTATTTGAAGATCTGTCTATTCAGTTGCCTGAATGCTGCCAAATCAATGACTGCAGCTTCATTTCCCGTCTCTTAGACGATGGCCATGAGATTAAGAGTGTGATTGAAGAGTTTTTGTGTTATTCTGTTCTCACAGAACTTAGCTCCGACCGCATGCACATTTTCCTCGAGCTTGTCATTCATATAGCCGTCTAGCCGTGTAGTGGCGGTTGAGAATATCCACTACCCCATATCTTCCCGTGGGTGTCGTAAGAGGCGACAGAGGGAGACAGGCAGGAGATGGGCAGCAGCATCTTCCTAATAACAACAATAACATAATAAAAAACTGCGGTTGCCAACCCGCTCGCCAAGCGTGGCAACTATGGCAAATATCCAACCATGAGCAACGACGTAAATAAACGGCCCCCAGTCCCCGGCGGCCCCGCTATTCCTGGCTAAGGTGGCGACCATGGTAACGGCGGGGCAGGGGGTGCTAAGAATCTCCGGTGGAGGTTCGGTTACCACCTACGACGACTCGACCTGGCAACGTATAACGCACGCACCCTGAGGACTGACGAGAAGATACTGGAGCTGGAAGAAGAGGTAGACAAGTTGCGCTGGCATATTATTGGATTATCAAGGTCCGAAGAGAGGGGGACACGGTAATCCTCGAGTCCGGCAACTTGTTCTATGACCGGGAGGGCGACCATCTGTCCCAAGGAGGTGTCGGATTTATCGTCCACAAGTCTCTCGTCAACAACGTTGTAAAGATTGGGAGTGTGTCGACGAGGATCGCGTACCTGATACTCAGAATCACCAAACGGTACGGTAAGCGGAGCAGCCGGGGACTGGGGGCCGTTTGTTTGTGTCGTTGCTCATGGGGTATGTTTGCCATAGTTGCCATGCTTGGCGAGCGGCTTGGCCACCCCAGTTTTTATGGTATCATTTTTATTATCAGGAAGATGCTCCTGCCCATCTCCTGCCTGTCTCCCTCTATCGCCTCTTACGACACCCACGGGAAGATATGGGGTAGTGGATATTCTCAACCGCCACTACACGGGAGTCGGCATTACAGTTAGTTATTTGGCCCAATGGGTTAGTGATAGCCTCCGATCAATGCTTTAACATTAGATGTGTAGGTGGTTTGCTTTCCTTGGACAGTTCAGTTCCCAATGGTTATAGCCTCTGCAATATAGTTGCCTGGTAGAGATCGCATCTAAGCTATAAGGGCGTCCTTATAGCTTAGATGCGATCTCTACTTAATTAGTTATACCATTGTATAGTTTATTTTTCTTTTATTTTCTTTCGTTAGTTTTTGGTCTACTTAAAAGCATACTTAATTCATCAATTTAACCGAATTTACCCGGCAAACTGCGGCGTCGGCAGTAAATTGTAATTACATTAAATAAATGACCGAGTATGCAAGCTCACAAGCTCTACTACATTCAGAATGATTTTATCTATTTTGTTTGGTTTCGAAGTTTAATTAGTATTAGTAACCCACGTTACTGCCCACTGTCTACGTTACTGCCCACTGTCTACGCTGGGAGACAATTTAGAAGACAAAAAAAATTAAATTAAATTCTTAATTTTTGACAGTGACTTGATCAGTGACACATGCAAGAACACACTGCAGAGCTGGCTTTGGGGTAAAACTATGATGAAATTGTGAACCTTATTTTACATCAAATGTAGTATAAATATAGTCATAATTCTATTCACTAACTCACATACACACTCACATGCAAACACACACACAAACACACACGCACACACACACACAAACACACACACACGCGCGCGCGCGCGCACGCATGCACGTACGCACGCACGCGCACACGCACGTGCACCTGCACATGCACACGCACATATTATAAAAACAATTTGTTAAAGTTCTTTTGTTTAAATTAAATTGTTAATTAATTGTTTTTGCGCTTCCTTAGTTAGCAATTAACTATAGGTAATGCTTGTCTTTGACACCGTTTATTCCTAATAATTGATATTATCTTGCTGTTGGTAATACTTAATATATGTAACACAATGTATCTTTTTGTAATCTTAGGAAGGAGCGGAGTCTCCAAATATCATACTTAAAAGAAGACTCCGGCCATTAATCATCTTACTATGTAAAAGATACTTAATAAAGATTTAACATTTTCATTTTTTTTCATTAGTCTTTACATGAATATTACCTATACTCGGCATCTATGGTCACAGGGGCCTGACTCATTTTCACAAGTGTTTACACAGGTTCGGGCTACAAAGAATCGATTTCCATTTGTGTAGGTAAATTCACATAGTTTTTGCAGCACTTAAAGACCTTTTTTTTTCAGGGCGAGCCATTCTAAATTCTAATAGGGCTAACGTTTAAACTTCGTCGGTTGTGAGATCCTGTACTGTCAACATTTAACGTCAGTAATAAGTGAAACTAAGTAGAAACCTGCACTGGCCTGACATTTGTTTGTCTTTTTTTTGTGTATTACTCGTATTAAAATTAGAGTACCTGGTTGACCGAGCTTTGCTCGGTATTTTTCGCTCGATTTTTTTTTAATTCGTGTGTTTTGGAAATTATATTTAGATACAAATTACATACTGATGAAATATAAATAATATTTTTTGATCTTAGCGACATAACGGAAAAAACGGAACTGGTTATTTGAATAAAAAAATCATGAGTTCAATTATTTTAATTTAAATTTTCGTGTTTTTAAAAAATACTAAAAAAAAGGGCTCAAAAAAATAGATTTTCTCAAAAAAAGAAAGGAACATGAAAAAAAAGTTAAAAAAGTCGGTCGGTCGGTCTGGGCTCCAACCGGGGTTTTACGATTCTGTGACCGACCATTATACCAATTAAGCTAATTATAATCACTAACAATCCGTCAAATGCATAACATAGTTGTAGCAGTTTTTCATTGCCTAAAAATACGGACAAAAGGACATTTTCTAAAAATAAATCCTAGCTAGATCGATTTATTATCCCCGAAACTCCTGACACTAAATTTTATGAAAATCGTTGGAGCCGTTTCCGAGATCCCGATTATATATATATATATATATATATATATATATATATATATATATATATATATATATATAAAAAAAGAATTGCTCGTTTAATAGTATAGGATATGCATCGCGCATCATTGTTAAATCATATTTTTTCGACGTATTTTTAGTCCATGAATTACTTTTACTGGAACGGTAGTTTTGTCTCCCCTTTTTAAAAAGATTATCGCCCGAGTTGCTACTTTAGTAGCCATCTTAATTTGATACTTGACATATGCGGAAGAGATTAACGAGTATGCAATGTATTACATTACCTCCGTAAGGTTAAAGACTGTGCTTGAAAATGGCAACGCCTTTATCCATCTCTCGCTCGCACACTGTCGCTATCAATAGGCACGTCTGCCGGTAAAGACTGCAAATAAATTATACGTATACCTGAGACAAGGAGTCCGACTAGGTTAGCCCAACTTCGACCGAGAGTCTCTACGGATTCAACTCGGCTGGGCAGCGTTCGGGAAAGTACGACACATCTTCTCGTCAGGTATACCTCGAAACCATAAAACTAGATTGTACTTGCGTGTTGCCAGTAATGACTTATGGATCTGAGACTACTCTTTCACTGCCTGCCGTATGAGGACGCTCAAGGTTGCTAAGCGAGCTATGGATAGGGCTATGCTCGGGGTTTCTCTGCTCGATAAACTTAGAAATGAGGATATCAGCAATAGAATCAGAGTGACTGACATAGCCCAACGGATTAGTAAGCTCAAGTGGCAATGGGTCAGCCATATAGCTCGAAGAACTGACAACCGATGGGGAAGAAAGGTTCTCGAGTGCAGCCTCGTACCGGTAAGCGCAGTGTTGGGTGACCTCCCACTAGATGGAGTGACGACCTGGTAAGACATGTAGTAAGTCGATGGATGCAGGTGGCTCAGGACCGTGCTTTGTGGTATTCTTTGGGGGAGGCCTATGTTCAGCAGTGGACTTGTGAAGGGCTGTAATGATGATAATGATGATGACTTGTTTAGATAGTTTTTTTTTATTGTTTAGTATATTTAGTTATGGGATAAAATAGTTTATAAAATAGTTGTAATTTATATGTATACTATAGAAAATACATTCTTTAAAAATTTTGAAAAACCAGCAAATAATTTACTGAAATTATTTACGAATATTAATTTTATACATCACTAGCTGCTACCAGCTCGCTTTGCTCGGCGCACGTTAATAACCTGGATGTAAAATATCAAGATTTTTTATGAGACTATCGAATAATTCATTCTTAGTGAGACAACATTGTAAAATATAACTTTATTAATTTTTTAGTCAATCGCGTGTATAGTTTTAGAGAATCTCATATCGTGATGTATCAGTCGGTATTGCTAATCATGAGGTCCCTGGTTAAAATCGCTTGTTTTTTTTTTAATATTATTTAAGTATTACTCTTCGATATTTTTTATTAATCTCTTTTAATTCATTTATTTGCCACAGTTTTTCAAATTCGAATTTGAGTTTATTTAATAATTTCTTAAATTTACGCAAACACTACACAATGATTTCTTAAATTTATGCGAACAATACACATTTTCATTTAAGTTTCTTATTCGTCATTATTTATTTATTTCCTTCCTAAATATAAATAATTGCGAATAACATTAGTAATTTAGTGATCAACATACAAAACATTATTTTGTATTGTTTACGCGTTGATGACGATAGTGCTTAAGTTTAGTAGTAAGTAATATACTATTGTTTAAGTAGTAAGGATCGATATGTCCAGGCGATACTACTCTACGAAAAATACCTAAATAAGATAATTTCCTTATTACGCTTTGTTATTCACCATATTCCTATTGACCTATTTATATACAACGTTTGCAACACGATCTTTTTTTGGTGCAGTTGCGGTGCCCGAAAACAGATGTTCTTACTAAGGCAATAAATATATAGTAAGCGCCAAATGCATTTTATTCAATAACTCGGAAAATTTAATTAGTTTTTGACAATCCCTAAGGACAGCACTAGATATTTTATAAGTGGTATCATTTATTACATTTTTTGCTTGATAATTTGCACCTCAAATAGAACAAATCGGTTCATGATGAAAATAAGAGGTAACTGTGATTTGTTTTATTGAGAAAATGTTATTCTATAATGTTTTTAACCAATGACGTCCATTATAATAGACGTAATATCCATATTAATAGCTTTTTGTAACTTTGTAGGTACTTGCTGTGTAATTTGCTTGTACGCGCTCTTAAATCTAAATAACGCTACGTTAAAATATTCCACCCAGGTGAAGCCAGAGAAGATCGTTAGTTATAAATGTTATTTTAAAATTAATGTACCCACTTGCGTGTAAAATTATTTTCAAATGTTTTCCCATCAATAAAAAATATAACGTTATAACATTACACTGTTATTAGCGAATAATATAACGTCATAACATTACACTGTTTTTAGCGAATTTTAGCTATTGGTACTGTGCACGTTAACGTGAAAAAATTTTAATTAGATAATATTTTACATGATATATTTATCAAGATGGAACATATTCATCATCACTAGCAAAAATCAATATTTCATGGTCGGCATCGTCGTCATCACCCTCATCATCGTCTGTAGAATCCCCTGTATTTATTATAATTTGGTTATCTATATCTAGGATCTACGTAAGGAAGAACGACACGTCTCCGGCTTTGCATATATCACAGGAAAGAGACATTTTAAAATTAATTTAATCTTGCTTTGCTTGTTATTTTATTCTCTTTTTAAAGATATTATATTGCTTAAGAAAATCAACTCAAATATTGTTAAAACAATTCACTGGTCTCTCTCAGTTCAGTTTGTCTATACTATTATATATTATTCTTTGACTGAGCATAAACGGAGTTCAAGAAATAAAATATGTTACATTTTGCGTATACAGTACGTGCGCGCGATAATTGTGCGACGAAGGTGCGTCCACATTATTTACGAATGTTATGCAAGTAAATATACATTATGGTTTCTTTTACTCTATTCTTTCGATTTAGTAAATTATCAATTATGTTTTTTGGGGAGTCTTTTATATTGTATATTAGTTTGTGTTATTTTGTCTATCCAAGTATTCTTCTTTTATATTATTATAAAACACAATATTTACATATTAAATATTAGTTTATTATATCTATCAACAATACTTAACACGTCCATTGTTAGATTCGCGATATTTAAATATCTTTTTAATTATTGCACTGCGTCATCATAAGCTCTCACCCTTTTATGTTGACTCGGCTATATTACTGAAGTCGCATGAGGATTATTGTTATATTCATAATTTTTGTACTCTACCCTCTAATGCAAAAAATCAAGTCACTATTAATTAGCAACTGCCGAAGTGAAAGACCGTTGTTCATGTTATTTGAGTCTAAGGTCAACTTTGCTGCTTTTACATACTATTATAGCTCTTACGTATTAGTAATAATTGCATACTGTAAGATAATTTTACGTCGATGTTTTATGAATGTATGTTGTATGAATAAGTATGTTATTTTAGGTAAATTAAACAAATTTTTTATTGTTATGTGTTGCTAGTGTACGAAGTGTAAAGGTGTATGTGATTGTATTTGTAATACGGTTATGCGGCGTAACATTATTTCATTTCTGGAAATAGGTGGAAATAAATACGTTAACAAATTATTATTTATTTTACACTGTGTAGCTTTAATTTACTATAAATTGTGCACAATTGGATATATATTTCTTGTGATTAGTGACTGCAAATAATTTAAGCTGTTATTACCAGAATGTTCGTGGTCTTAGGACTAAATGTCTAGAACTTCGACTAAGCATTTTGACGAACGATTATGACGTAATAATTTTGACGGAATCATGGCTACACAGTGGTATTTTTGACGGTGATCTACGTGACGATAGATATGAGGTATTCAGGGCTGACAGAAATTTGTGTATAAGTAATAAAAATACCGGTGGTGGAGTTTTAATACTAACGCGACGCACACTCGGCGCCATGCATCGTGACCTCGGTATATGCGGTCCTACAGAGCTGTTCTGTTGTGGATAACTATTCCTTTGGTTGTGTAATGTTGGGAGACATTACACAATCAAAGGAGGTCACAGTATACCGCCGGGCCCTACGAACCGTGGGATTTGTTAATCAACAAATCCCACGGTTCGTAATTTGCCTCCAATTCCGTTTATTGTAATCGGTTTCTTTTGTAATGAAATGTTTAGTTTACTAAGCGTGCGCACATACGGAAGCGCCGGTACCTACGAGCCATCTACATTTGATACCATCTATTGCTATCTCAACACAATTACTATATTCGCAACTAAATATACCATTGGTCCCGAAAAAATTCTAGATTATTTTCATTATTATCGTTATTAGGGTTAATTTCTATATCTCTCCTCATCCTTTGCAGCTCTAATTGTTTCTTTTAACGTACTATAATTACGTGCTGACAAAATAATACTGAATTGTCGATTTCGCAAGCCATTTGTGAAACACTTAATAGCGATCTTTTCATTTATAGGACGTAAAATTTTTATGCGCGTTTTGGTCACCATCGGCTTGGGAAATCGTCAAATCTACGAATAATTGTTCGATTTTATTGCCATAATTATCTAGGGAACTACTATTTTGTCTTATTTGCATTAGTTCGTTATGAATGGAATAGTGAATTAATAAATTTGACATAAAAACAGAAAAAAAATTAATGATAATTGGATGTAACATTTATAACTTATAATAAATAATGATTGACAAATTTCATTAATTTTAATTATACCAAGTATATGACATTGAGCAATAATAATAATCTAAAGTTGGTATTTCCTCTGACGCTGTTACACAATTAATTAGACAGTTACCATATCAATTAAAAAAATATTGAAAATTTATATGTTGTTAAAATTTCGATAAATATTGTTAAGTAGTTACTTGTCCATTAAAATATACACGTTACTATGGTAGAATATGTAGAACTAAATTATACTTAAACACCATTGTTTAACCATATTGTTGCAAAAAAACAAATATTATTATTATTATGGGGTATCTATATAGTTTTCTCATCTGGTTGGGTTCTATAAATATATAATTATAAATGAAAATGAAAAAATAAATATACATAAATATCAATAACAAAATAAATATAAAAGTACATAAATAAATAAAAGCCCAACCAGATGGAGGCCCTCGGCAGGGGGAGACCAAACGGCCGAGGGTTAGGGGGAAAGGGAAAGAAACCGGCGGACGATGCGGGCGGTATCGAGGAGCACCGCCTTCTGCATTTGAACCTGGAGCGGTCCGCCACGTAGTCCCAGCCGCCTCAGATGACCCGAGAGGCTGACTGGGATTAGCCCGTTTGCAGAGACGACTACAGGAATAATTTCGGTCGGCAGACCACCCCACATGTCGGTCACCTCGTGAGCCAGGTCCAGATATTTTGTTTGCTTGTCTGTTTCGGCTTTCACGAGGTTCTCGTCATACGGAATGGTAATGTCGACCAAAAATATCCTTAACTGTGCCCGGTCCATCAGCACAATATCAGGCTTATTCGCAAGAATAGTCCTGTCTGTGATGATGGCCCGGTCCCAATAGAGCCTGGCGCGATCATTTTCGAGCACGGCTTCCGGCAAGTACTTGTAATACGGCAATTTCCGATCCACGAGACCGTATTTCAGAGCGAGCTCCTGGTGTAGAATTCTGGCTACTAGGTTGTGCCTGTGCAAGTACTCAGAGTTAGAAAGCGCCGAACAACCGGAGATAACATGCCTAAGTGACTCACCGGGATGGCGACAAGCTCGACAGATGTCGACGGTGCCATCCTTTAGGATGTATCTCCGATAGTTGTTGGTCTTAATAACCTGATCCTGTATTGCACAGACAAAACCCTCGGTTTCCCCGAAGAGATCACCAAAGCGTAGCCAGTGGAGGGAGGCTACTGTGTCTACGAAAGGCTCATGTAGAGCCTTGTAGAACCTCCCGTGGAGCTCCTTCTCCTTCCATACGGTCTCCCGGTCGGAAATGCTCTGCACTGCCGGGTCTTGCCATTGCTCGTTGGCTAAGGATAGAGGGGTAAGTCCTTTATCACAAGAAATGACGTCCTTATAGAATGGATCATCCGATCTCGCCAGGAAGTAATCACGGAGGCTGCACACTTCGCGATTATGCATGGTGAGCGCGCTCAAGAAGCCACGACCACCATGCTTCCGCGGCAAGTACAGCCTCATTACCGACGATCTCGGATGATGCATCCTATGGGACGTCATGGTAGTGCGGACTTTTCTATCCAGGGCGTTAAGTTCAGTCTGAGTCCGCCTGAGTATGCCAAAGGTATACATAAGGACAGGTATGACCCAACCGTTATATGCGTGTGTCTTATTCACATCGGACAAAAGGCTATTAAGCACTTTGGTCAAGTGTGCATAAAACACGTCGCAAACTGACTGTTTCATACCAGCCTCATCGATACCGATGTTCTGTGACATACCCAGGTATCGGTATGTTTCAGTCTCGGAAAGGGTCCTTAAGTTGACGGGCATAGATAAATCTATGCCCTCAGAGTTAGCAACCCTTCCCCTCTCAACATGGAGGACCGCACACTTATCCGTCCCCAGCTCCATTCTAATAGAATTGCTAAATTCACAAGTGATGTTTAGCAATTCCATAAGATGGGAGCGACTGGAGGCGAATAACTTAAGGTCATCCATATAGAAAAAGGTGGGTCACTTTTGTCCCTCCTTTTCGAAGCTGAAATCCCCTCCCGGATCCCTCCAGTAAGGTACTGAGAGGGTTCAGGGAGAGGCAGAACCAGATTGGACTCAGACAATCGCCCTGGAAGATACCCCTTCTTATCCTTATGTGGTTCTCCGCAGCCGTCATCCGCTCACCCAGATGACAAAGGATCGTACTCCACTGCCCCATACACTGCTCGAGGAAGTCTCTCACTGTACAGTCTATCTTGTACAGCTCGAGGACTCTCTTTAGCCATGTATGGGGCACCGAGTCGAATGCCTTTCTGTAGTCTATCCAGGCGGCGGAGAAGTTCCGACGGTTGCGTTTCACCACTCTGCCAATGACCGCGTCAATGAGGAGTGGTTCCTTAGTTCCACGACCACCGCCCCGACATCCATTTTGAGCGCGTGACATCATCTGATTTAGCTCCAGGTGACGAGTGATTCTCGCGCTCAAAATGGATGTCAGTGTCTTATATATGGTGGGTAGACACGTAATGGGGCGGTATTTGCTCGGGTCTGTGGTAACCTGGTCTTTAGGAACCAAATGAGTGATCCCAGTAGTGAAGAGGCTAGGGAGCGACTTCTGGTTGAGAGCCTCTTGAAACTGACGGGCGAGCACAGCGTGACACACCATGAACCCCTTCAGCCAGTAGTGATGCAGTCCGTCGAGTCCCGGACTTTTCCAGTTCGGGGCTCTACGGACCGCCTCAGCTACGTCATCCGGCGTTATGATGACGGGGTCCATGGGCGTAATCCTCGCACACTGACTCGCCACAACTTCCGTCCAAGGGCCCTCGCTGTGGTTTACGGGCTCTGACCACAGGCCACGCCAAAATGCGACAGTGTTAGCCTGGTCCGGTCCTGGGCCCGCTCCACATACCTCTGGTCGCTCCAATGATTTGTAGAGCCTCTTCTGATCACTCTGGAAGAGACGATTCTGGTTGAACCGCCTTGACCTCTCAGTAAATCGGCGAATCCGCTTCCCCCAAGCAGCAATCTTTTGCTTCAGGTCGTCTATGCGCTCCGTTAGTTTCTGCGTGATATCCGGCTGGGACAAACTGATATTTGTCCCAGCAAACGCCATTCTAACGGTGCGCACAACCCTCGGTCTATTATTACCCGACCTGAAGCTTATCAGTCTGCCGATAAGGGCCCTTGCCTTTGCGATACGGTCCTCAATTCTTTTTCTCCAGGCTGGGATGGCGCTACTTTGTTTAGTAGCGCGTCCAGCCATGGGAAGAATCTGGCGCCAATAATACGGCAAGCTGCCACTGCGGCGCCAAAAAGAACTGAGTCCGTCTCGCAAAGGTCCCGGCTGGCTTCCAAATAGGTTACCAGCATTGGGTTAAGAGCCCTCACGACAGCCCGATTTCGCTTGCTTAGAGGTATGCGGGGAAGTCGCGGTCGATTTTCGAGAGGCATGCTGCGCGTTTCCAAAATTGCCTCTTCCAATATACTCCTCATTTGCTCTAGTTCGTGGGTGACCATTTCATCATCATCTGAATCAACCACAACTGGAAGATCCATGGCGGCTTCTACGCGTGGCAGCTGGTCTGTCGCCTGAGGAGCCGCATCCCCAGCCGTAGCCAATTCATTCGATGAGGGAATGGCCTCACGTCGTAGTCGTTCGAGCTCGGCATCATCGAATATTTTCGAGCGCATGATGTACCGAACTCGGTCTGCCAGGTTTTGTTCCGTGACGGGAATAGACGGCTCCAGCTCAGCAAAAAAGCAATGCATCCGAGCCCGATACGCTATCCCCGCAGTTTCTTCCCCTTTCGCCCTATAGTACGCCCGCAATGCGTTTGCGTTCATATCCCTTGTCCAACGCATGCGGCGCACTCCACCAGCGGCGGATGCCGCTTGCCGAGTCCGAGAGGACCCTGCCGACATCAAGCCGTCTGGTGGGGATGATGGATGCGGGGGGCTGTTAGGTGTTCTTGCAGCTCCTCGCACTCGGCTGGCGGCCCGCATGCTGCCGCGTCCAGCGCCAGCTCCAGACGCGCCCCGGCGACCCCCAGGCAGCGGCCCTATACGTTTTCCAATCATATCCATCATCCATTTTTGGGCGCCAATTAACGGGAGACGCCCAGGCCCGGCACCGTTTCATTGTATCATTGTACGGCCGTAAGCACAAACGGGCCTTTGCACCCTGAGTACTGCCGAGGCACGGCGCTCACACCTCTTGGCAAGGCGCTGACTGACTGCACCGACGTAGCAGTTTTGTCACTTAACTGTTTCGTCAGCGGGCGATGGGGTCGTCACTTCCCTACGCCTTTTTATTATTATCATTATTAAGTATTTATTTTTATTATTATTATTATCATTATTAAGTATTTATTTACCGATTAATTGTTGTGGTATAATACATTATTTTGAATTTTTCTATTAATAGTACTAATATTTTTCCTACTTTTTAATGAATGATTTAAAATTTTTCTTTCCCCAGTTCTGTGTATAACATTATGTAAGTAATAATATAATTTGACAATAGACATCGACAACATTATTATATAATTAAACTTACATTCGGTGCTTTCGAGACGTCTTGTACCTGCTACAGAACTTGGCTAGTCGCTCGTTGTATCCCTGACTTCTTTTTGCTGCTCTGGTACTCGAAGATATTGTTAGCTCCCCCGATGTGGTTGGGCCTGGACTTCCTCCTACGCTTCTTTTTTCTTAAGTTCTTTATTCTTCTCTTAAAGGAATTTTGGTTAAGAAGTTTTCTGTTCTTGGAATCTTCTTTCTTGGAACTTGTCAATATTGATTATGCTGTTAAAACAATGTTAGACTTCTTGCATAATTTGTTTTTCAGGTATTTTCTTAATTTTTTTTTATAACATTTTTTCTTTAAGTGTATAATCGACTTCGATTTCTCAAAAAAAATGTAGTCTCTTTTTATATTCGCATTTAAAATATTATTCGTCACGTCCGGTATTATGTTCATTTTAATATTATTTTCATATATTTATTTTTATGTATATATGCTCTTCAATAAATTACTTTTTCTCTAATGCAGGTCCCGACGGTGCGCTTGAATTGTAGCAGCGCACCGCCTGGCAGGGTCGCCATGTAATGTTGGGAGATTCGGGAAATAAATAATAATACGTCTATTGGTCTTGACTGTAGGTTTATTACTCTCTAAAATGTGTATTAGGCTATCATATATATAGCTACATGAGCATACACTAAACACACACTACAGTTGCTTGCGCTTCAAGCACCAACTTACATATTTGCGTGACATATATTGCACCTGACGCTCGTCAAATGCCATCGGATCTCATTAATATTAGACAAAAAATTAACAGTATTATTGAGCTTTGTCCAAATGATAATTTGGTAGTATTAGGAGATTTTAATTTGCCGTTCATTACTTGGAACCCAAACGGATACACAACTTAAAAAATATAGAAGAATGGTAGATCTACCGAGGTACAAGAAGCGAGTACCCAGCTGATGGAAGTATTTACATTTCACGGGTTAAGACAATTTAATACTTTAACCCTTTTTGAGGTGGTGGCAAAGTTTTTGCCACTACCTGATTATGGTAGCATTAACATGTATCTTTTGGAACAGGACTGGCGTTCTCTTTTGTGTACAGGTACTATAGACGAGGCTACAGACACCTTTTATATCCTACGGGATAGTTGTGTTCGTTTATATATGCCTTTTGGTAATAACACAGCGAGGCGGTCTTATCCTAAATGGTACACGTCAGCTTTAATAAAAATAATTAAGGAGAAAACAAAAGCTCACACACGTTGGAAAAAATTCGGGAATAGGTTAGATTACGATGAGTTTTCATTACTCCGAGCAAGAGAACGCCGTGTTCAGAGAGAATGTTACAATAAGTTTAAATCGAGTTGTGAAAGCAGCATCAAAAAACACCCGAAAACGTTTTGGACTTTCGTCAAAGCCATGCGGGGTGGGTCAGCATATCCCAAGAAAATGTCTTTGGAAGATGTAGAGTACACCGAAGGTATAGACATATGCAATGCTTTCAACTCATTCTTCCAGAGTGCTTTTGGTGTACCTAGTAATAATTACACATCTCCACATACGGAATCAATGTGTACTGACATAGTTTCTAATATACATACAAACACTACAATAGTCGAAAAAATGTTTGAAACTTTGGACACGAACAAAGGTGCCGGTAGTGATGGGTTACCTTCTTTATTTTGGTCACGATGTGCTAAATCACTTGCTCTCCCCTTGAGTCTTATATTTAACCGCTCTCTACGTGAAGGAATCTTTCCGCATAAATGGAAGTGTGCACATATAGTCCCGGTACACAAGGAGGGTTCACGAACTGATATAAAAAATTATAGAGGTATTTCTATTTTAAACCCAGCAGCTAAAATCCTTGAAATAGTAGTATATAACGTAATTTACTCCACGATTTCACGCTCCATCCCCGAGCAGCAACATGGTTTTTTGCAAAGGCGATCCACCACTACCAACTTGGTACCAAGTTTTTCTAGTTTTGTCTTTGAGAATATGGATCAAGGTGGGCAGGTTGATGTGATTTACACTGACTTTGAAAAAGCTTTCGACCGTGTGGATCACTTGATCCTGCTCAACAAGTTACAAACCTTAGGTATTCACGGTGACTTGCTCCTTTGGACTGAATCATATCTCACAAATCGCTCACAGGCAGTCGTAATAGGTGGTTACCGCTCGAGCTATATAAACATACCTACAGGAGTTCCCAAAGGCTATCATTTAGGTCCACTTTTTTATAATGCCTACCTATATGACATAGGATCATGCATAGAACATACCAATTACCTCATGTATGCAGACGACAAGAAGATTTTTCTGAAAATTAACACCATACATGATTGCCTATTGATACAAAAGGACTTGGACGGTTTACTTGAATACTACAGGGTAAATAATATAACTGTTAATGCAGGCAAGTGTACCGAACGTATTACTGTTACGCGGAAAACTAAGCCAATTCTACATAAATATCATTTTACCGGAGTGGAAATCAGCCGAAAACTAAATGTTAGGGATTTAGGCGTATATTTTGATCATAAAATGATACAATCCGATCACATTGATTATGTTATCAGTAAAGCCTATAAAAATCTTGGTTTTGTTCTTCGCATCTGTAAACCATTCACGGACATTAATGCAATCAAAACTGGTTTTGGAATATGCTAGTTCGATATGGTCTCCACAATACTATGTTTACAAAAACCGCCTTGAGCGAATTCAAAAAATATTTGTTAATCATCTTAATTTTCACTGTCGTAAAAAACTCGGTACTTACACAGACAGTTGCACTGAGCACAATCTCTTATCTTTGGACCAACGGCGTGTTGTGCTTGACATGGCTTTTTTGTATGATGTGATAAACAGTAATGTTGATTCAGTCCAAATCTTGTCTCAAGAATCTTCTTCCGTACCCCAAAATACCGTACCCACAATACAACCTTGTTACAAACTCCCCGGCACCATACAAATTACTGCCGAAACTCTGTTCTCTCGCGACTCGCTCGCACGTTTAATGAACAGTTTGGACACATTGACATCTTTGCGAAATCTAAGGTTTTGTTCAGGCATGACATCATGAAAACCATTAAGGAGCATAGCAGTTGCAGTTAAAACCATGTATTCTCTTTTCTTTTTTTGTATATTTTTTTCTGCCAGTATGATTAATCAAAATATGTTATTTTATTTATACTTAATTACTTTTATTATGTTTATATATTTGTACTATTTATGTTCGTATTAAATATATTTATATATATATATATATATAATATAGTATATATATGTATATATAAATGTGTATATATGTGTATGTTTGTATATGCGTATGTGTGTATGTATATGCATTTATGTCATATATAATATCAATCTACCAGACCCTCCACTCCTCGTTACACTAAATTGCTTATGATTTGTCTTTTGGATTGTTTTTATTTGTATTTCTTCCAACAACAATGTACCATCAAGCAATATAAGGGAAACCTGTTATTGGCCATACTTTTAGTTTGTTACATTAATGTTAAATATTTTCTGTATACGCTGTTGGTTTTCGAAATAAATAAATAAACAATTTATCGAGAGTTGGCAATTCGTTCCTACTATAGTAGCCATAGATATGGTTTTTAATAGCGTCGTTATCAAACTATCGATCTTCTTACTTTTTTCTTAAGTGGTTATTTTAATTTGTTACCTTCATTAAATTTTTACCATGTTTTTCTGTACTTATTCGGGAAACAGTTTTTTGGCTAATACCAAGAGCTGCACTTACTCGGTTAGTCACTTGTGAAAGTGCCAACAATGGACCACCATTCAGATACTCTCTTTCAAAGTAATATTGTAGGCGTACTACAAACTCTCTCACTTGACTGCGCATCACTGTTCTTTTAGTGGTCTCAGTTTCGGCCATAGTGTTTATAAATACAAAAAAACCAAATCAAATAACAGTCAAAACTTAATAACAACGAAAGAGTTACCAAACAGTTATAACTACAATAACAAGAATGAAATAAAAACACAACACAAAATCAATTAAACTGAACACGCGTATCGTATACAAGGCTTCTGCACTCGTACTGAAGAGACAAACAAAATGGCAGTCGTGATCACGAGGTGGACGCAGTGTTGACAGATTTTCACTCGCGAAAAGAATCTGTCTTTAAACGATTTTATACGATTCTTTTAGTCACGTCACTATGTAAAAAAGTAAAAATAAAACTATAAAACGTAAACGCAAAACGGCACTAAAATATTATTATCTTTTAAAGTTTTAATTATTTTGAGCACAATGTCTAAAAACAATATGTTGATTGTATGTGTGTGAATTAATTGTATAATGATTTAGATTGATTGTCTATTTTTAAATGATGATTTACGACCATGGACAAAAATTATTATTATTTCAAATTATGCGAAACGTGAAGAGTTACGTTCTAAGAAGTGTCAAAAGGGACTTCGTAATTGGAATAGAGTATAGTGCGGGCTTGATGAGTCGCCATTTCTATTCCCATTCTTTATCCGCACGGACTGTACGTATTATTTAAGTACAATGAATACTATGTTACTACACCATATAATAACTATACATATAAATCTCCTACCATGCCGAGAGACATCATCGCTTTCAAAAAGATATACATGACAGGATACTTATACTTAGCAGACCCACGAATTTAAAAAGCGACAAGCTTTAAAAATGCGAATAAAATCCAAAACCGATTGCGATTTCTGTCTAATATAGGAATTGTTTTGACTCAATAAAATTTCACAATGATATTATGTCGTGCTCTGTTTATCTTAAACTCCTACTGCTAACATTATGTCATTAACTGTGATAATAAAATCAAAATACCTGATGATTAAATAAATTATATTAGTGATAAAATAAATCAATTATCATTACTATTAGTAATGATAATTGATTTATTTTATATACTTAGTAAAAATGAAAGGTTGTGACCACGTGGTGTGTGAGTACGTTAGTACTCTTATTAGTTTGTGGTTGTGATGTTCAAAAATGTTATTATGTAGACTATTCAATATAATTTTGTTGTTTCAGGGCTTGGGACACATTCCCAATGGCAGCAACGTCTGGAAGCCCGCCACCGGGTATGTTTTATAAAACAAAAGGATACATTCAAAATTCTTTTCGGGTTTTTATATCGAATGTGGCGTTATTTTCTATTCTTGTTTTCAAATACTTATCACGTGGTACCTATCATTAGCATATAGAAAATGGCAAATTTCACTCCATCTTAGTTTTAAACGCTATAGAAAAATTGCTTTAGATCAGTGACTTCTATATATACAAGTACGCTGGACTGGCTATATACCGTGATATAATGAATCGATTTAATTTGCGCCATTTTGACGCTGATAGCAGAAGTGAACGTCCACGGAACTAATTATAGAGATAAGACATTGAGAAAAAATATATTGATAAAAATTCTATACCCTACCTATACCTAAATAAATAGAATGGACATTACGGGTAGAGGCCTAACCGTACCGTCCATTCTATTTATGTATCATATTAATATAATGCCATCATCATTCATCATCATTACAGCCCTTCACAAGTCCACTGCTGAACATAGGCCTCCCCCAAGGAAAGCCACAAAGCACGGTCCTGAGCCACCTGCATCTATCGACTTCCTACTTGCTTGTCTTACCAGGTTGTCACTCCATCTAGTGGGGGGTTGCTCTACTCTTTGCCCGTCGGTACGAGGCTGCAACTCGAGAACCTTTCTCCCCATCACTTATCGTTCTTCGAGCTACAGGGTCAGCCCATTTCCACTTCAGCTTATTAATATAATCGATTGGGCGATGTCGGTCACTCTGGTTCTACTTTGGATATCCTCATTCCATCCAAGATTAAATTCAATTCCAAGTTAATCACACGTATAAAACCTGAGTATAACCCTCTTCATATCTCGCTGAGCGACTTTGAGCTTCCTCATACGGCAAGCAGTGAAGGACCACGTCTGAGAATACTCGAGTGGTGCATCGCCATGCCAACACTCCTCTTCCCTTGCGACTCCACCTCGACTGCAGCGGTACAGCGAGAGGAATCTCCTCTAGCCGCAGCCCACTAACACACATACAAGGGCTCGACCAGCTCACTCGACAAGGCGGGAACCCTTTTAAGGAGGAGCTATTTCTCACCTATACTCACGCAAATTCACTTACCACTAGCACGTCCGTGGAGAGTAAAGTAGCCAAACAAAATATGCCGTCGTCCGTCCGGCATAGTATACTATCCAAAACGACACGTTATAAATATTGCCATCTAGTTTAAAAATGCCGAAATATATGAACTTTGTGCTTGACAAAAATGATTATCTATGAAATACTTCACTAAAAATAACAGAAGAGCGCAGTGTTTTGTGTTAGGGTGCATAGAATTAAAAATAACAACTTCACTCGACTTGTCACGAAAGTGTTTCGGAGTACCAGCGATTATGTCGTAAGTATTTCGTATTTTTTAACTTAGTTGTTAGATTATTGTACATCATAATAAACTTTAGAATTTGTACTTTGTGATATTACTTAGGTGATAAAGTTTCACGTACTAAATCGGCTCTAATTTGAACTTCAAAATATTGATGTTACCAAAACAACGACGTCTTTGTAATTTACAGTCGCTAATCGTCTTGTTTATCATTGATTTACGTGTTATTCAGTGAAGTAATAGTGATTAAATTTCTAACAAACATACTCATACACTTTTTTAGTTAAAAATATATTAAAATGTCAAAGGATTCACAATTAATATCAATGTGTTGTTCAGGTTTTTTCGTATGGCTAGTGCGGTATCCAGGGACGTTACCACAAAAGTTATAAATCTCTAGAAACGAGGAAGTGTGTTTTCAATATTTAATACTGCTTGATGTTATCACGTGTTTTATTTTTGTTGTTATATATTGATTGCATTGATTCATTTTCACACTTGTTTCGTGTTTCGATAATCGTATTAGCACACTTTTACTGTATTTGAAATTTTAATGTTTTGTATTTTTGGGTTTTTTACTTTCTGTGATATTTTTTGTTATAATTATTTCAAAAGTCAACAATTTAATCCTCGGAAATAATGCAACACATTACGAAGTTTTTGTTTCTCCTATAAAATTTACTTTGCTTAATACGATTTTTTTCTTCGGGGACGTCGATTTAGCAAATAGTTTTTTAATTTTATCGTTTTAAGTCAAAATTATAAATCATTAAAATATTTTATCACTTATTCGTATTTAATTCAACCTTATCGTGCATAAAAAGCCTTAGACAGACGGCCAACTTCTTCAATTTGAACGTGACGACACGGCAATTGTCACGAGGCCGCCGCAAAATTGCAAGAATGTATTTTGATTTGATTTGTTTAGCTACTAAGAAATATTCATACATCAAGATATTAGCATTATATTAAAGGGAAATGAATCTAGTTTTTCTTTTTTAGTGTTGTGTTGGTAAAAATTACTATATTTTATGCTTACGAAACAAATTTATGAAAAGTTTTTTTATTTTCCACTCGGGATTTGACATTAAACCTTATTTTAAGTATAATAGACTATCACTATCGATTTTTTAAATAGATAAGTTCAATCTTCAAACGTCTAGCTATTTTTTAATATTTTTTTAAATTTGCTGTAGCTATTATATTTTAGCTGTTACAAAGGTTTTTGTTACCGAGCAGCGGGAACAGATTAAAGCGGCTTGAGGCGGCGAATAGTCGGACGTTTGACGCATATTTACCAGCGCGGGTCGGACGTTAGAATGGCTAAGGACATTAATAATTTTGCAGTCCCAATATAATATATACATTTATTCTCTTGATATAATTAATTGGTCATATTATTATTAATAATAATTTATTATATGACAACTGTCTGACAGACTTAAAAAAATACGTCTCGTAAAGACACGGTCATCTAATCAATCAGGCGACCTTTCAATTTGGGGGAAAATGATAAAAAAAAAATAAAAACATTCGAAATAATAATCGGGTAAGGTTTACAATTAATTCGCCTCAATTAGGGGGTGAAGGAATGGGGAGGGGTTATAGAGTGCCCCTCTACTTCCTGGGGTGCCCTAAGTCCCGAGCTCGCTTTGCTCGCTATTGGTCTCAATGAAATACTATTTACTTTTATAATTACTTTAATTTGTAAACATAATTTATACAAAGGATATTTGCAATATTTAGCAATATTCTACCGCCACAAATATACCACTATGGGATCATCAAAATTCTGTGGACGATTATAATTATGAATGGTTCAATCTCAAAGTGTCCGGCAATCAATCGATCTGGCAACAAAATAAACAATTCTCTTAGGAATATTTGTAATAATAAAGATAAGTTGAATATTTGTCAAAAATATTTATATACTTGTTGTGACGAATGCCACGCCGTTTACGTGGGTCAGACTGGTCGCAATTTCAGGACGCGCTATATAGAGCATTTAGCCGCGTACAGAAATTGCAATCCTGATAAATCCCATTTTGTGAAACATCTCTTGGAGACTGGACACAACCTAGCCAACGACCATTCCTTTAAAGTTTTACGTACTTGTAATAAGGGGTTGTGACTGTGTGTGCTGGAACAGTTGGATATTTTAAAAAATAGTGATAGTAACAATCCACTGCTGAATTAACAAACAAATGTTTCTAATTCACCTTTGTTAAACATCTTTAATGTTAATCTTTAATAATAATTTTAAAAATTAATAATAATAAATAACTATAATAATATCAACAAAAAACAATAATAATAATAATATTTAAAAAAAATTAATAATAATAATAGTAATGATAATTCCAGGTCTGTTATCGCACGGCGCGGTTGCTCGCTATTTTGGCGAGCAACCGCGGAAAGCGGTTGTGTCGGCGTGTATAAATAACAGCTGTTTTGGCACGCCGCTCACTTAGTGGTCAGCCACCGTAGAGTCTACATCACCTGAGGATGTCTCGTGTAGAGGTGAAACACGTGTCGTACTATCGTCGATGGCGTGTCTTACCTGGAATAGTGGTGTTGGAAGTAGTGGTGCCGGGAGTAGTGGTGACGGAATTAGTGCACGCAATTAAGGGAGAGCGGGAGGTGCTCTTCAATCCAGGTAAGACACATCATTGTATTTAGTTAGCGGAAGGTTGCAAATTAATTAATATTTTTATTATAATAGATTTCCGCAAAGTAACGCCTGATTCTATCAATTATCTATAATTATCTTTAAAAAAAAACATTTCACGGGTCTCCATTGTGACTCTGTTTGTTGGCTATGAGCCCCGTCTGGAGGCACGATTGTCAAGGTCCGAGTGGTTCAGTTTTTTGTGGGTGTGCCCATGTTCCGCTAGGCAGTCATATGCTCTCCAAAAATCAGTACGAATTGTGGTGCCTATCTCTATATGTTTTTTAATTAAGGGCACCAAAACCTCAGCGTAACGTATGTTGTCAGGGCACACCTCTAATCGTAGATCCTCAGACCCATCCTCAATCATTCCAAGGACCCAATCGGTCTCAATATGACGTCCTACAACAAACATAATATGCTTAAATTACAATAATAAGAAGTTTAAGAGACCAAATAGAAAGAGATAAATCAAAATTACCTTTGTTATACTACCGTTTCCCAAATTTTGACTCATCGATCAGCTCAACTTTTCCTGCGCCGCCAATTTTTCCACTGTGCTCCATTTTTTTCCAAATAGTATATTACTATGCATTTCCGACAATAGCCGAACCAATCAACAAAAGTCGTTCTGCTCAAACAGTGCTCCCTCTCTTCCTTGTTTGGATCGTCGTTCATTGTCATTTCGCAGCTCCATTTGTGAGCATAAGCATATATTAAATAAAATACATGCACCAACGGAATATTAATATTTTCAAAAAATGTTCCAGTTGTCCGTGATATTTTTCCCTTCAGCTTACATTGGCCTTTAGTGCAAATTCGAGCACCAAACGATTTGTTGGCCAATTTTGTGAATCGCATGGGTGTACGGTACGTGCGGCATATTTTTTGGGAGTACACCATTCCATTAGCTTCAGCAAAAGGAACACACTGATCATGGGTTCCAAGTTCTTTGATAATTTTGGATAAATTCCACATTTTAACAACTTCCTCCAAATTTAAACGTCGATCAACAAACGGCCCGTTGTCTACGAAGAAATCGTGATCAGGAACTGTCGAATCAGTCGCAGTTACAGCTCCTCCCAAACTCCCAATCGTAAACTCGTAGACGGCCCGATTTCCGAATCTCGGTCGGTTGCTGACATATCTTGTTTGTCGATGTCCAGTAAGTAAGCCAAAGTCGTCCAGAGATGCAATCCAATCGGTGTCTAAAGGGGTAGCCAAGTCGTCGAAAAATAGCAATCAAATGGTGTCCAGAGGGAAAGCGAAGTCGTCAAAAAACAGGAGGCAGAAAAAGACTAGATTAAAGAAGAAAGTTAGGTAGCACATTCACATATACTCGGAAGCAACGGAATGACGTAAAGTATATATTCACTATCAACAAAATGACCGGCCTAGCGATTCATTTTACACATTTTTAAATCGATTTGAATCGAAATTAGATGAATCGATTCACAAAAAAAATCGAAGTCTTAAAGATCGATTTCGCAAAAATCGACCTTTTTTTAAATTTGCGTCAAGAGTTTATATTTACAGTATCAAAAGATACAATAAAGTGCAGATAACATTGAATGATTGAATTTAAAAACTGTCATTCTTTACGGGCTGGGATACATTCAACTAATCGTAAATAATTTTATAGTTCTTAATAAAACAGAAAAAGATTCGGTTTCGATTCTCTAGGGTGAAATATCGATTCACTAGATCGATTCAATACTATATATCGATTTGACATTGACAGATGCAACGTCAAAAACGTGAAAATATATATTTAATCAGTGATTTACTAACATTTTTAAAAGGTAATTAAAAATACTTGGACGCTGCTCCGGCAGCAAAAATCTCGTGGGGGTGCTTCAGAAAACCCCACAGTGACAGAATCCTCAAATTCGGGCGACTTAATTGTAAACCCAACCTTAATAATCTAATACTTTTATACTTACTGGTACCGTCGATGTACTGCACTTTTTCAAAGTAGTGCGTTTCTCATGTCTAATAAAACAGTCGTCTGTAAAATGCACTTACTTATAAACCGTGAAGAACTACTTACAGATATGAAGAAAGGAGTGGTCGCTTTTTTAAAGCTGTTAAGGAAGAAAACGTACGATTAAAATGTATAGAAGGGAATTATGTATGATGATATTCAGCGCAAATTGCAGATTGGGAAGCATTAACGAAATTTTACACTTATATTACACCTTCGAGTTGCTAGTTTCGCGTTGAGTGTCGCACAACCTCACTGGTGCTCAGAAGAAATCCCGCGTTCGATGGTGCCGTAACGTGATTACTTGGTACTAGTTTGAAGCAAGCGGCACCTCTTCGTGTTCACGACTTTATATCGTGGATTTTTTTATTAATCATGTGACTCATGTTCCCTTTGACCACTCCCTGTAAGCTTAAAATGCTAAAGTGGTTCATGACAGTGGTTAAGTGGCGGAGTCGAACTCACAACCATTAGAGTTCGTGATCCACACCCTGCCCGTGGGCTAGGTCAATACAATCTAGTAACGAAGTTGTAGTTGACGATTTTGGTGTTCAAAATGAACCAACGTCTATAAAAATGAAAAGACCGAGAAGCGCAGGGAACATTTTGTTTGCTAGTTATTATCACTTTGAAGGAGATCTGGTATCCACTCCTTTAGGAAAAGAAGTAGAAATAATTTCCGGAACTTTTCGCTGCTGTGAGCAACAAGCAACCGAATACGAGGCCCGCGGGTGATTGTGCTGACAGTTACAGACAGTTGCTCAAAACGAGGAATTTCCTGTACAGAATACCGGTTAAGCTCTTAAAACGCTCTCCTTACAACACTGATTTGGCATCGTACGTGACACCCTTTTTTATTTCTAAAAATATAGTTAAAAAAATCAGCTGAAAGGGATACAGTTTTAATCGTCAGAAGATCGGCCAGCTGTGTTCGTGCAGGCCGTAGAAGAGGTATCTGAGGCGGACTTACGAGTGTTCCGAAAATAATTTCAGACACAATTTTTTATACAGATGCTGGTAAAGATTTATGTGAAAATATTTGATAATAAGCACTTTGAACATAGAATATTTGAAGTTAAAAAAAAACGAAAAGACCAAAAATCGCAAAATTGACAAGGGTTCGTATGTTCGAAGACCTTTGCCTTCTTTGGGTTGCGATAAAACAACTGTCAAAATGCTGTCAATGTGACATCTATCATCGGTTTGTTAGCTTATTGTACAAAACTACAAAGTATTAATTAGTTTTTATGAAAAGTATTGATATGCATACTTAATATTAATAAAAAACCCGTTCAATGATAAGAAAACAAAATAAAATTTATGCTAGGCTTAAGTGTTACTCTAATATTTCTGTAGTGAACGCTAAAATTCGCTGAGCCCTACAATGTAATCAAACCTGTTAATATTTATTTCCTAATGAATATAAGTAGAATAACATAAAGAAACATGTGCAAAGGGGTAGTGGAGCTGCGCGAGGATGTCCCGCTGAAGTCTGGAGGCGGAGACACGCAGCGCTGCGCAGGGCCACGTCTTATCGCTACCGCCTTTGCTGTGCTAACTGTCGCCATTACACTTGCTCTGTTGACGCAAATATACTACGGAGACTATGAGGTCAGCCTGCTAATTTATACATTGAGCATATTCGAATTTAAGTGTCCTTAAGAGAATCTTAAACTGCCTTAACAATTAACTATTTAATACTAATACAGTGGAATCTATAACTCGAACCTCGTTAAGTCGAAAACTTCAGTAAGTCGACAAAAATTGTCATTCCCTTCCGCTGAACCCCTAACTATGCGGCATCTTGAATTATTTAGACTTTGTAACTCGAAAAAAATGTTATTTCCATAAGAAGTATTAATAATACATATTAATATTCTATAACTCGAATTTCAAAAAGGAGACCCTTAAGTCATAGTTAGTAAAATATAATGATGTCTTACTTGGAATTCCCCAAAATAATAGCAATGAAATCCAAAATGAATTTTCGGATTCGGGGCTTCTAATCTATTGTTTTTGTCTTATACACATGCAATGAATAAATACATTTATAAAGTAACACAGCTGTGAACGTTATGTTTGTTCCTTGTGGACACAGGACACGATTACTTTTAGCGGAGCTTGTCTGTCAGTATTTATTTTGGCGGTTAACTAACTATAACTATACTTAGAAATCACCCCTCTGTAAGTTACAGAGATGCCGCTGTATATAAAAATCAAATGCTGTCCGTTAGTCTCTCTGAAACTTGACAACAGCTCCAACTATTTTAGGTTAGGTTAGGTGACGCTGTTGTCGAGATACAGAAATCACCCATGCAAAGAGAGGGAGAGTGCTAGTTATAAAATCAGGTGCACTTACAAAATTCTTCTAAAATTTGTTTAAATTGCGAAAGTTAATTGACATCCTAATAGGTAGCCATAATAATTACTGACTTCGAGCAGACATCTTAATTCAGAATGCATGCTGATGCTACATCATGGTTGTAGTACTAAGGAGTTAGTTCGATGGGAGAAGGGCTCAACTCTTACAGTCTAATAGCATAAAATATCAACTCAATGCTGCTGTGTTTCATATGTTGAGTGTAAAGAACCAGAGATCCTTCTTACTGGAAACAAGGCATTCCGTCTTAGTCCTCAGGGATGGCAATGCATCTGCATTTGGATTTTTTTTTCACAATAAAGTACTTTTATAGTCTATTAAAGTCCATTGTTGAACATAGGCCTTCCCCATATATTGCTTTGTAGGGAGGATATTTGTCATAGTTGCCACATCTGGCAAGCAGGTTGGCAACTGTAATTTTTTATTTTTAGTCATTATTAGAAAGATGCTGGTGTTCATATCCTAATTTGTTTTCTCTGTCGCCTCCTACGACACCCATGGGATGTTATGGGGTAGTGGATATTCTTACACTGCTACCAGACAGTACAATTTCTGTAAACATTTCAATGTTATAATAATGATGATATATTGGTGAGCAAAGTGGAGTAGCACCTACTAAATAGAGTGACAACTTTGTAAGATATGCAGGATATGATGGATACAGGTGATTCAGGATTGTGGTTTGTGGCTGTGAATAGTGAAGATGCGATTTTGGAGAATGGGGTAGAATGTAATGGAATGTGGCAGGTGGTGCCGCATGGGTCGGTGTCCACATCTGTGGGCGCATGCTCGCGCGGCGGCGCGGCGCTGCTGCGCGCGCGCGGCTCAGCGCTGGATGCGGCCGCCGCCGCCGCGCTCTGTCTCGCGCTCGCCGCGCCTTACGACACGGCACTTGACGCGTCAGTACACACTTTTGTCACGTACCTCTTTAAAATTACACTGAAACATGGGTACCTCAAAAAATTAACCGTAACCGAAAAGTCTATCTCGTCTTGCCTATAGTTACGTAACTATTAGTCTTGAAGACCTAAGTGGAGTGTCATAATTGGACTTGCTGACTACTCAGCTCGCTCTTATGACCTTCCGAAAAGGGAAATACGCAGATTGACCAAAACCGATGTTATCACACCTTTCTAACACTAAAACCAACCCACTGACATAGACGTTTTTCGTATACCAATACCCGTGTGTCACGACATAACTCCACTCGATTATTTTTTCTTTGGTAATGTATTTTGTACTGTTATATTTTTGCCATTTGGGCACTCACTAAAGCACACATTAAAAAGTTAGAAACATGCCAAAACTCAATGGAAAGGAGTATGATGGGGAAAAGACTATCCAATAGAATAAGAATCGAAACCATAAAGAAACACACGAAAACAAAAGATGTCACAATAATAATAAAAAAGTGGAAATGGTCAGGCCATATAATTAGAGGAAAAGAGAAATGGTCGAAATCGATAATGAATTGGTTTACAGGTCATATGAAAAGGAAAAAAGGTAGACCATATATATATATATATAAGGCCTACAGAGACTGCAATAACAGGTGTGTTAGTGAAGCAAGAAGACTTAGAAGTCTTTATGAAGCCAAGATTGTCGAGAGTGGAAACAGAGCCTTCTATGCTCACCTATGCAGTTGCATGGCTTCTAAAGTTGGTCTGCCGCCTGTGGTACGTGATGAACTTGGCAATCTTGTAGTTGAAGGGTCTAAAATTGCCGAAGCATTTGTTTGTGAATTTGAGAAAGCATACTCATTGGAACCTGACCTTAATAATATTTCCATACCTATACCAAGAGTTAAAAACTCCATAGATGACATCCATTTCACATCACAGGATGTGCTTATGGTTCTCAGCCCTAAATGTAAACTCTGCTTCTGGGCCTGATAATGTCCCTGAGTATTTCTCCAATCATGCGCTGAAACCATCACACCTGTCTTGGTCAATATTATGAATGAATCATATGCTTCAGGTGAGGTACCAAAAGACTGGAGACATGCTATAGTAACACCTGTTTTTAAAAAGGGAGATAAATTAGATCCAGCTAGCTACATGCCAATCAGCTTAATTAGTATTGTTTGCAAATGTATGGAGAAGATTATATGTAAAAAAGTAAGAAAGTTCCTAGCAGATGAGATAATTATTCCGGATAGCCAGCATGGAGCTTTGTGGAACGGCACTCGACTACAACTAACCTTCTTTCCTGCTACCACAGATGGACTGAGAAATTAGATAAACATAATCCTTTGGATATATTCTACCTGGACTTTGAACGGGCCTTTGACAAGGTACCACACAGACGTCTTTTGGTTAAATTGGAACATCTGGGTATCCGAGGAAATCTTCTGAAATGGATCATAAATTATCTGAGTGGAAGGACCTTTCAAGTAAGAGTTGAAAATGTATATTCGCAACCTAAAGACGTCTTCAGCGAAGTGCTACAAGGATCTGTACTCGCGCCTACCCTCTTTGGAATTTTTGTTGCTGATCTGAGTTCTATAATACACTCAGAAGCCTGTTTCTTTGCTGATGATGTGAAATACTTCGGAAATCCTCTAGTGAACCAGGGAACCTTAAGAGAAGACTTAGAGCGTATACAGGAGTGGACAAAAAATTGGGTTATAAGACTTAATCCTTCTAAGTGCACAGTTCTGCATCTAGGCCGAAACAATCCCAGAGAAATGTATAACATTTGAAATTCAACAGCACAGTCAGTCAACTCACACAAGGATTTAGGTGTCCTAATATCATCGGACCTCAAGTGGGCTGACCATATCCATAGTATTGTCAAAAAGGCAAACAGCATGCAATCAGACAATCGTTTCAGCATCTGACTCCAGATACATTGCTTAAGGTTTATAAAACATACGTCCAACCGCTGATAGAGTATGGATTTCCAACTTGGAACCCCTATTTTCTTAAGGATGTAGATTTGCTGGAGAGTGTACAGAGAAAAGCCACAAAAATTCCATTATGTCTTCGCAAAAAGCCATATAAAGAGAGATTAAAAATATTGAATCTAACAACGCTGAAATCTCGCCGTACCAGAGGAGACCTTATTGAAACCTACAAAATATTGACACATAAATATAATTGCAAAGAGCTGCCACATATTTTTAATATCAGCAGTATCCACCGACCTAGACATCCTAACTATATGAGATTGGCCCACACCCGCTCATACACTAATGTGGGACATCACACACTAAACAACAGAATCATAAACATATGGAACAAGTTGCCTCAAGACGTGGTAGATGCTCCCTCTGTGATTAGTTTTAAAAACAAATTGGACAAATGGTGTAAAGACAATCCAATTTAGTGTATACTTAGTGTGAACTTGGACTAATATAAAACACCAACACAGATATAGGCATACCAGCTATAAGCTGCTCGCCTATTACCAGATAATAATAATAATGTAGAAGATGGGGGATGATATTAAAGCCATAGCTAGAGGCATGTGGATGAGAACTGCTAAGGATAGAGAAGAATGGGAAAGGTTGGGGGAGGCCTTTGCCAATAAGTGGCATACAGACAGGGTTGTCGATGTACAATAGTTAAGCGTTGAGAGTGTAAATATATATAATATATAATCCAGTGTTAGATATAGACTAATCCAGATAGATACTGTAAATGAAATAATGTCTGAAATAAAGGCTATTATTATTATTATTATTATTACTATATTTTTGCCAGTGTCAAGTAATAAATTATCATTTATATTATTCTGTTCACAACTTCTTCACAATATATTTGATGATTAACAAGATTAAGAAACATCCTAATTACAATAGAGAATACTGTTGGGGACTACCGTGTACTTGGGAACCGTAGCGTCAATGATGCCGTCACACTGATATATTATGTACAGCAGAGTGTCTATTATTCGAACGTCGATTAACCGAACTGCTACTATACAATCCTAAGATGCGACAACAGTCAAAAATCGCGTTATTCCACCTCGTAAAAAAGCGCCTGAATGAACAGTTCGATTTTCACGGAATGGTTTATAAAACTTTTTGTACCCACTGTAAAGCCCATCAGCTAAAGAATGGCAAAAGAGAAAAAAGATTATTACTCCTTTATAATGCACCAGCTCATCTATCATGTGATTCCCTAAATAAAAAGGATGAATAAAGTGATTTTTGCGATATTACAGAAAAAAGTTGTAAAGTAAGTTGTTGCTAGAAAGAAAGGAGGGAGAAGAAAGTCTTATTAGAAATTATAAAAGACTGATTTAAAGGATGCATCGTACATGATCAGAGTAGCTTGGGACAGTTTAAAAGAACAGACAAAAAAATGCCTGGAATAAAATTTTGAGTACAGTGGAAAGTTCTCAAAGCGAAAGTGGAAGTGAAGAACAGAATGATATGTGTGAAATGCTAAATATGATGAAGAAGACATTCAAGTATGGATGACTGTGAACAATACAGATTCAGGCAACAAATCTTGCAGGATAGTGAAATTGTCGACCGCGATGTCGTGAGTGACAAAGCTGACACCGCCAGCTCCTCATCATTTGTGGTTCAGAAAATGAAGTCGAAAATATTCCTACTGCCTCTGAAGTGTTTATATACTTATATACTACTTTGCGATGATTTAAAGCTCAAGATAAAAGCGGTTAGTATCAGATATCTGTCCTGAAAAAAGTGTGTGATTTACACAGCGTGTAAGAGGGTAGATTTGCTTCGACACATCAAAGTTAAGGACTTCTTTAAATGTTAATTATATAGGCATAATGTGTGTTCAATATTGATTATGCAATAAATTTATTTACTAAGCTATCTGATTTTATTTATATTGGTACATAAAATTATACAGTTCGATTATCCGAATAAACCTGTTTTACGAACATTCATGTCCCCAATTAGTTCGGATAATCGACGCTCTACTGTATTTGAGATACAAAATTATTAAGTTACATGTGCATGTGTAGTCCTGCAACATATATTGAGTGTGGCTGATTAATATATACTGATTTGCATTATGAATTAAGGCTGTAATTTATTTTATTTTTAATATAAATAAAATATTATATCAAATTTAATTTATCTAGTCTATATAAAATTATGGTAATCACACAAACTATGAGAGATATGAAAAAGTTTTGATCAAAACTTTTGGCATTTTTTATTTAAAGAAAATTTTTTTTGTATGGCATATAAAATTGAGATACTATAAAAAAAACTTGGTTATTCAATAATTGAACCACTAGCCCAAAGACTACTATGATATAGATTCACAGGTTTATTTTTAATTTCTACTTGGTTTAAGTAATGATTGACAATTCATGTAATAGATTGACATGGGTCTCCATGGGTTGACAGACATATTGGTAATTGTTGTACCACATATCTCACATTTTCAACACTACTTGTCCGTCGCTGAGTTTTGCGCATTGCACTGAGCACCAGATATGTTACGTTACAGGAGTGGTGCACTGCTGTACTGGGAGTACAGAAGAGCACATAACGAGCCACCCACACTGGCGGAGTGGGGGGCGGTGGGGGATGATTGGCAGATGGCAGGTGACAGCATGCCGGAGGCAGGTGGCAGCTTGCAAGAGGCTGGTGGGAGTGGAAATGGTACTGTGCCACGGCTGGTGGCAGCGCTGGCAGGCCTGCATGTACGCTACGGGATGCTGCCGTGGGCCCAGGTCCTGCAGCCTGCTATTGACTATGCCGAGTAAGCTTGCATAATATATTATGATTATTGCTCCTACATTAAAAGGCAAATTCACTATTATTGCTTATCCTCTATGCCTTCATAATAGTTGCATAATATTCTTTCTTGGATTAACTTGTCTCAATTTTTTTGAAAATAGTAAAAATTGCTTAGTATTGTGGGTAAACTGTATGCTAAGGTGTTAATTGAAAGAGTTATGAAAGAAACTGATGGAAAAATTTGGGATGTGCAAGCGGGTTTTAGAAAGGGAATGGGGTGTACAGATCTAATCTTTTCCATGCGCATGATTGCGGTAAAGTTTTTGGCCAAAAACCAGAAAGTTTTTTGTGCGTTCATGAACTTGGAAAAGGCTTATGACAGAGTGGACAGGAATGTGTTATGGCAAACACTGAACTCATATGGGTTGAGCGCTGGTTTGATACAGGCATTAAGGTCTCTTTATAGGGACTCTAGTGCTTGTGTCAGGATCAATGGGGTCTACTCGGACTGGTTTGGCATCCAAAAAGGTGTCAGACAGGGCTGTGTAGCTTCCCCTTGGCTGTTCAACCTATTTATGGACAGGTGTTTGCAAACTTTGAAAGATGAAGAATGTGGGTTAAGAATGGGCGAGTTAACCGTCAAATGCCTTTTGTATGCCGATGATCAAGTCATATTTGCGTCGTCGGCGGCCGAGTTGCAAATGATGGTTACATTAATGAACTGGGAATTAAAAGAAAGGGGAATGAAAGTGAACGCAAGTAAGACGAAAGTGATGTGTATTTAGCAGGGATGGTAGATATGATATAGAACATGGATATAGAACGATGAGTAAATGCAGGGAATAGAGTGAATGGGGCACTACACTCTATTATGAAGAACCAGATTGTGTCAAAAACGGCACGTATGGTAATTCATAATGCTGTGTTAGTCCCTACTTTAATGTATGGTAGTGAAAGCTGGGTGTGGCAGAAGAAGCACGAAAGTAGAATAAATGCTGTAAAAATGCGGTCTTTAAGGAGTATGCTAGGGTTGAATCTGAATGACAGGGTGAGAAATTGCATGATAAGAGATAAATGTGGTATGCAAGATGATGTTGTGACCAGGATTAAGAAAGGAATGCTTCGGTGGTTTGGTCATAATAGTAGAAAGAATGAATGAGGAAAGAGTGACAAAGCAAATTTATATGGCAGATGTGAACGGCCGAGTCGGGAAGGGACACCCTAAAAAAAAGTTTATCGACCAAATTGGCGGTATTTTGAAAAGGGTTAGAAGTACCCCAAACCGACGAGCATGTGTGCGTAGATATATGGATGTAAAGGAGGCGAAAGAGGTATGTCAGGATCGTGCCAAATGGAAGTCCGTAGTCTCTGCCTACCCCTCTGGGTGACAGGCGTGAGTGTTTATGTTATGTAAAAATTGGTAAGAAAAGAAAAGTCAAAATTACAGAAGTAAAGTGTATATATTATGCAAGCTATGTGTTATGCGTATAATAATAATGTCCTCCAGACCGAATTTTGGTCACGGCGGCCAGTCTCAACGGAGACTAGTCATGGCGCAAGACGGGCTTATAGTACCTGAGTGTATGTGCAAGCACAGGTGCACTTTCTATTTCTTCAGTCTCAAAGCCCAACGGGATGGTAAGCCGACACGACCGGAGAGATATCAGGCGCTGGACTAACGGCTATGCTTTCCAAGGCATGGGGGTAAGACACTGCCAACTTCCTGATCCCGGGTAGATACTGACAATTTCTTGACGGAAAAACTCAATAACTGATTCTTTTGACCCGATCCAGGATTCGAACTCGGAACCTCATGATCAGCAGTCGTATTTATATCCAGTAGGCCGATGAGGCAGTCGTATTATTCATAATCGGTATTTCGATCCATCAGCTCGCAATATAACATTCTTAGTGTTGTTAATTATATCAGGTTTGTATATTGGTTTTAAGAGGATTGTGAATTGCCAATGCGCGACGCGAGTAGGCATTTTTAAAAATGCTATCTGTTTCATACCGCTCGCTTCGTATCGCCGTATCGTGCCATAGAGTTACAAGTCTTGAAGGAAATTGCCTACATTTCCTTTTTGAAATATTCTTTTGGGCGATAACATTTTCACTCCCTAAAGCTTTACCAAATGAGATAATTTTGGTCTCTAATAAACATATTATTATTAGATTCAGTACACATTTACCTAGGTTTGTACGTTTTTCTTTTTTAATAAGTAGTTTCTGTGTGTGGTCTCTTTTTAATAATTGAGTTTAGTATAATTAAAAAAATAAAAATGCTTGAAGAAGTCTTCGTGGTGGATGACCGACTGCGAAAACAGGTGATGGATACACAAGTGTTCAGGGGTGCTGACCTGGGAACGGATCATTATCTAGTAATTACTAGATTTAGGGGTTTGTTCGCTGGTTGGCGCTACCGGACGGCAGTAACAGAACCACAGTCGGTCTGTCGCATCCGAAGCTGGAAGCTTCAGGAAGCGGATACTAGGGACAAATATCACACGAGGGTAGCCGAAAAGCTTGACACCATCGATGGCAGGAAAGAATGTGTGGAAAGAACACAGAACCTTAGGGATGGAATGGTAAGTGCTGCGGAAGAAGTATGTGGAACGACAAAAAGAGCTAGTAGTAAAAGAAGAGATGCATGGTGGAATGATGAAGTAAGAGAAGCTGTAAAAAAGAAGAAAAAAGCATGGTTAGACTACTTGGCCTCTAGTAACGATAAGCATATGAGAGAGAAGATGAAAGAAAGATATAAGCTGCAGAAAGTTCATGCGAAAACATTGATTGAGAAAGTACGTGAAAGGTGTAGAATAGAAGCGGACGAGAGGTTGTCGCACAACTTTAGGGAAAACTCCAAACTCTTCTGGAAAGAGGTTGGAAGGTCCCGGAGTGGTGCGACAGCCTTAAGAATGAACAAAGTGCTTTCGAGAACCAATGACGTCCTCACAGAAAAATCGGACGTCATGCAGCGATGGAGTGAATTTTATAGAGAAATGTATGCGTGTCATGATCTTAGTGAAGGATCCGGGGGTGACGCCGTGACTGGCACGCCAGACACGGACCTCGATGACACTGAGGTCATCAGCATGAAAGAGATTGAACGTGCGATTCGAAGTTTGAAATGTGGTAAGGCTGCGGGACTAGACAGAGTTACTGCTGAAATGGTCAAGTACGGTGGGCCTCGCGTCTGGGACAGCTTTCGTCTGCTGTGCAACTTGTGCTGGCGGACGGGAGATGTCCCGGATGATTGGCGATCCGCGGTCATTGTGCCTTTATATAAAGGTAAAGGTTCACATTTTGACTGCGGGTGCTATCGGGCGATCAGCTTGACCAGTTTAGCAAGTAAAGTTTACTCGAAGGTTTTGACACATAGGATGCAAGAGAAATCGGAAAGATTCTTATGGGAGGCACAATGCGGATTTAGACCTGGAAGAGGATGCACGGATCAAATGTTTTCTCTCCGCATGATCACGGAAAAGCTTCTGAGTGTTAACCAGAGGATTTTCTGTGCTTTTGTGGATCTGGAGATAGCATTTGATAAGGTTATAAGGAAGAAAATGTGGGAACTGTTGCCGGGATATGGTGTGGATGGTCGAATGTTAAGGGCTGTGCAGACACTTTACTATGACTGTAAAGCCAGTGTGCGGGTAGGGCATGACCTGTCACCCATGTTTAGCGTCCAAGCGGGCGTAAAACAGGGTTGTGTCATGACTTCCTGGCTGTTCATACTGTATCTCGACAGCTGTTTACAGAAGCTGAAAAATAGCTGTTTGGGTGTGAAATTGGGTGACATTAAAGTAAATTGTCTGCTGTATGCTGATGATGCAGTGCTTATTGCACCATCAGAAGCAGAACTGCAGGCATTAGTCACGTGTATGAAAGAGGAATGTGAAATTAAAGGTCTCCGTTTGAATGCTAATAAAACTAAGGTTCTGGTATTTGAAAAGGACGAAGAGAGAACGAAATGTGAAATATGGGTAAATCAGGAATGTCTAGAACAGGTAAATGAAATTGTATACTTGGGGAGTGCTTTCAGCCGGGATGGAAGATGTGATTTAGATGTGGATAGGCGTGTCGCTGCCGGAAACAAAGTCAATGGTGCCCTGAATGCATTAGTCAAAAGGCAAGGCGTGGTGAAGAGTGCACGCCTTGCAATACATAACGCAGTGTTGGTACCGACTTTGTTATATGGCAGCGAAACCTGGGTATGCCAGAAGAAGCATAAAAACAAGTTGAATGCAGTGGAGATGCGATCTCTTCGTAAAATGTGTGGCGTTACCATAGCCGATCGAAAGCGAAACGAAGAGATTCGCAATATGGCAGAATTGAAAGATGACCTTATCACAAAAATTGATAGGGGCGTACTCCAATGGTTTGGGCACGTTGAGCGAATGAGTGAAGACCGAATGGTGAAGAAAATATATAGAGCGAAAGTAAATATTAAAAGGTGTCGAGGTAGACCGAGACTACTCGGATAGTACTCGGATACCTAGACGTGCATGTATGAAGAAGTTAATGAACCTAAAAGAAGCGAAAGAGGTATGTAAGGATCGTGACACTTGGCGATCTGTTCTCTCTGGCTACCCCGTTAGGGATTGTGCGTGAAGATAAGTAAGTAAGTAAGTAAGTTGAAGAAGTTTTAATTCAATAATATAAATATTTAGATGCTAGTAAGTTATATCGAACGCAATATTTTTTTAAATAAAAACGCACAGAGAGATGAAAATTAGACATTGTTTACAGGGGAAACTGTTATCGTTTTTTGTATGAAAATTTACAGCTTCACAATAGGCTATTTGACAATATTAAAAAAAACTACTAATTGTGTTCATCCTATCAGATAATAGCGTAAAAATATATATTTTATACTAAAATATGTATATTTTATGCAAGTTAAACGAAAATAAAACGCAACAATTTTTGAAATTTTATTTGCGACGGGAACGCCATGTAATTGGTTGCAACCTCTGGCGACGTCACATACGAGTAAACATTGCAGCCTTGACTGATTGT